ACTGAGTATAAGAATTAAGTGAGATTTGTTTTCTATGGACTCATGGTTTGTGGCTCTGCAGTCTCAGAAGGCATGTACACCAAACGCAAAAAGATATTTACCCTGGAAGCATTTATGCAAAGCTTTTTGTCCCGTCTCTACTAGATTCTCTGTCTAGTAAGGTGCAGTTTTATTTGTAACATCATGCCCCACCAGAGTTCTTCCGCTCAATTTGCCTGCCTGTTGTCATGAAATCTGCAATAATTTATCAGCATTTGTCTTAAGTTTGAGCCAATAGGTTCAAAAGCTAGTTGAGGATCAAAACTAATGAGAATTACAACTGTGTACACCTTGCTTCCATAAGAAACATTGAAAATATAAAACCATACATAATAGTTCATCTATATGTGCTATGAATGTGATTCACATTCAAATTACTCCCAAGTTATTAGCTGTGTATATGATTATGACTCATGAAGAGAGTACAAAAGGTTCCTTCACTCTGATCTTGCTATTCTATTCAGAAAAATACTTTCAAGCATCTGACATTAGTGTTTTATAAGGACATGTTTGAAAACTGAAGCACAGTAAAAGTGCATAAAACTTTTCTTTTTTAAAATATCTCACAGAACTAAACAGGAAAAGCTGCAGAGACTTTTAATTAGAGACTGCTATGCACAACACAGATAGGAATGTTTTTATCTCCCCCTTCTGACAAAAAGTACAGAAAATATTTCCATATACCATAACTTACATCCTGAACTTTCCATATGCAATAGTTAAGGTGCCCGTCATGTAACATGAAGGCCTTACATGGGCCCTTCATTGCAACACTACCCACCGATCTCTGTGGATGGCCTTAGTAACAAGCAAACAGGTTACACAGAGGATTTAAACCTGTTCCTCTCTAGATACACAAAATCACCCCCCACAAAAAAGTTCATAGTCCATCTTTAGCTCTGAAGAGCCTCTATGCTACAGTCATGCTGCTCACATACAGGAGGGAGGGATGCTCAAGAATATTCTCTTTGTGTTCTGCCACTTTATCTTGTGTTTCAACAGCAATGTAATCACAGCTGCTGCCCTAATCAGACAGGTCTCTGAGCAGGAGCTTACATTCCAGTTGCACAGCTCGCTCACGTTTATCCTAACAAACCTATAACCCAAGGCTATGTGGGATACTTTTTAATCTGTGCTATGGCAAACTTCTTTCATAAATGCTTTAATACACGCCTTCAACATGCTGAGGCAAAAGTATATGATAAAGCTTCTGAGCAGCTTTTTGCTTTAATAAATATGGGTATTTGTGGTCTCACTCACTTCCGACCTGGTTCAGAATCTTTGGAGTGAGGATTCAAGTCACCACTTGATAATCTTAATTCCAGAAACTAACTTCTTCAAATATGAAAACATATAACAATTAAAATTAAAAGGTCATTCTAAAGCACAGGAGAGAAAAAAATTACTTTTGTTGTACACTCTGTATTTGCAAAAGTTGCAGTGGGAAAGCATAACTGACACAAACATAGAAAGCAGGCCTCAAAGAAAGAGACAGGATGAGTTTGACCTAAAACATTACTGCAGAAAGCATTTTTTTTCTGGAAATGTTCTAAGACATTAAAATTATGTACTGGTAAGAAATGCTTCCTCAGGTGTAGACAAAGCTGCCTTGACAAAGTTCAAGCACTTTTGTTCTCTCCAAACTGTAGAGAACAGTTTATTTCCTTCTTTGCAATGTGACTGACACAGCCTTTGTGAGTAACAGTAACGTGAAGACAGTGATGAAGCGCCTGTTTCACGCAGTACCACACAGCGTGGCTGAGGCCGGACCTCTGGAGGCCATGGGGTCTGACATCCCTGCTCAAGCAGGGCCACTTACAGCCCATTGTTCAGAATCATGTCCAGATGGCTTTGGAAGGTCTCCAAAGCTGGAGACTCCAGCAGCTCTGTGCCAGTGTCCCATCTGCCTGACAGTAAAAAAGCCTTCCTGATGTTCATAAGGAACATCCCATGTTTCAGTTTGTGCACACTGCCTCTGGGCCTGCCAGTGGGCACCACCTGGTTCTGGTCTTCTTTGCTTCCTGCCTTCAGGTTTTCACACACAGGTTTTCATCTTTGTAGCCCTTCATTGAACTCTCTCCAGCAGCTCCTTTTCGCTTGCGGTCAGGAGCACAAAGCTGGGCACCAGCAGAGGCCTCACTTGTGCTCTATGGAGGGGCAGGATGACCTCCCACAACCTGCTGGCAACACTTGGCCTTACTGCAGCCCAGGGCACTGCCAGCTATACTTACTGGAAGGACACCGTGCTGGGTCACATTCAGATCAGGGCTCATCAGAATTCCCTGGTTCCTTTTCTGAAAAACACATCTCCAGCTGGGGAGTTCCCACCGTGTACTGGTGCCTAATGTCTATGGTTGTTCCTCCACAGGTGCGGGACTTCGCTCTTCACCTTGTTCCACCTGTTCCCCTCAACTTCATGAAGGTCCTCTCAGCCTATTTCTGCAGTTCCTTGACTGGGCAGCACAACCCTGTGGTTTCTCAGTTACCCATCCCAGTTAGGTGTCACCTGCAAACTTGTCAAGAGTACACTCTGCCCTACCGTGCAGTCATTAATGAAGACGTTAAAAACTGGGCTCAGGCCCAGTTTTGAGCCCTGGGACACTTCCTGGTCTCCAAATAGACTTGTGTCATGTGTCACCATCCTCTGGGCCTGGCCATTCACCTGAGGTCACCGTCTGCACACCCAGGCCACACATTAACTGCTTCTCTTTCAAGGTAGAGCCTGGAGCCAAAAGCCTTGCTGAAGTTCTGCAAAAACTGCTCTCTCCCTCGCTCTCTATCAGGTTGGTCAAGAGCATGATATCCCCTTTCACTTCTGAACAAACTCAAAGGAGAAAGGCTTACACACAGCCTTACATAAAGACCAATTTTCTCTCACGTTCAGTGTGCATGAGATAAGCAGAACGCTTATAAAAGAAGACACAGAGAGGAAATGTCCTTCATCCACCATCATGGTGGTTTGGTCTTTTTTCCTCATCATTACACAGTGATATTCCTAACAGAAATCATTGTGTACATTCTGCCTCAAGTATATAAAAATAACAGTTGTGCTGCCTGAAATTACACTAAAAAACTCCAAACCTGTCTATTTTGAATAACCTAACCAAAACTTCAGAAAACTTGCAGGTGGTTTGTACTTTTACAATTATACTGAAATATAAATTCCTTTGTTATGTAGATTTCACACATTCAGCTATACCAGTTCAAAAACAGAGACTTCATTTTTCCTGTAAATGACCTGTGCCTAACAAGCTCTAATATGCAGTCAAATTAAGAGAAAAATATTACTGCTAGATTATGAGAAGCACTTCTTTTAATCGTTGCACGGTGTGAGACTGGCTTAAACTTTTTTTGTTTAAGGCAAGCTGGAGTGCCAGTAGAAACAATGCTACTAAAAAAATCATACCTATTACCCACGCATGTGTATCAGCAGTCATGCATCACATGGATTTGCTTGGTTTTTTTCCTACATCAGAACTGTTTTCAGACAGATGCATTACATAACCACGGGCAGTACCCACGTTTCTGGCAGCACCAAGGAAGCAAAAACTTTTTTAAAGACTTAGCTCCTTTTTTCTGCAGAGGCCCGGCAAGGAAAGGAGAAAGGAAAGGAGAAAGGAAAAAGGAAAGGAAAGGAAAGGAAAGGAAAGGAAAGGAAAGGAAAGGAAAGGAAAGGAAAGGAAAGGAAAGGAAAGGAAAGGAAAGGAAAGGAAAGGAAAGGAAAGGAAAGGAAACCACGGGCAGGGGGCATGGAGAGTGGGAGGAATTTAGACATTAATAAACTCTTTACTGCAAGGGCGTTAAGCCCTGAAGAGATTGCCCAGGCCAGCCGCGGGTGCCCCATCCCGGGGGTGTTCACAGCCAGGTATTCAACCTGAGCAACCTGACCTGGAGAAAGGTGTACCTATGTATCCACGGTTTGTGCCTGGAACGACGTGATCCTTCAGGCCCCTTCCAACCACTCCATGGTTCCATAATTCTATGAAAGCGACCGCGGGATCGCTCTTTCTGGCTTATCTCTCCCACCGTGCTTATCTCATCCCACAGGGCAGAAGTAGCACGGCTTATCTGAGGAGCCACAGCACCTCCCAGCAAACCCTGGCAGCCTGCTACGCGCGCATTCCCAGGGAAGCATTCCATGGTTTGTTTCTCTGGTTAAGGATGCTTGTAACATCCTTAATGCTGAAACTGCTGGAACTGAAATGCTGCCCGCAGTTCTGGGCACACCTGCACCCCGCGTTTTATCTGGGTCACGCTGACCAAATAGGACTGACGGTGCAGCCATTCCCGACAGCTGCGCCCCAGGACACCACGGGCTTACTGCAGCTACCCGGCAGCGAGGGGACAGCACCATTTTAAAGTGAACACGACGCTCAGCTGAAAGGACGAAAGCATGACTTTTTCACTACTCTGAAATAAGCGGGCTCTCTGTACACCGGGGACTAGACCGAGCCGAGTCGAGCCCGGCCAAGTCGGGAAGGGAAGGGCACGGCAAGGCACGGCAAGGGAAGGCTGAGCCGAGCCGGGCCGGGCCGAGTGCAGCAGCGCAAAGCAATGGCGCAGAGCGGCGGGTCGAGCTGCGCATGTGCGACGTGGGCGCAGCGGCCCCACCCCGGCCGCCCCGCCGTAGGCTGAAAGGGCTCGCGCCTGCTCCGGCCGCCGCTGGCCAATCAGCCGCGCCCACCCCGGCCGCCGCTGGCCAATCATCAGCCGCAGCTGCCCCGACCACCGCCGGCCAACCATCAACCACGCCCCTTCCCCCGCTAGCCCCGCCTCCCCGCTTCCGGCCGGCGCCGCCGTCAGCCCGACCGCTACCGCCTGTTACGTAACGCTCCCCCGCCCGCCGCAACCGCCGGGGATTGGTTGGGAGCGGTGAGCGCGCGAGTCACGCGGCGGCGGGCTCGGGTGGGGCGCGCCAGCGCGGCACGCGATTGGCCGGCTCCGGCGAGAGCCAATGGGAGTTGAGCCGCTCGATTCAAACGGTGCGGGGCGCGGAAGGGGGCAGTTAGTGCGCGAGGCGTCCGTGAGGGAGTAATCTGAGGCCGCTGCTCGTCCCGCTGCTCCAGCCTGCGCTGCCGCCCGCCATGGCCCACAAGCAGATCTACTATTCCGATAAGTACTCTGATGAGCAGTACGAGTACCGGTAAGAAGCTGTAGGAGGGTGCGTGAGGGCCAGCTGGAGCGGTTAGGAGGAGCTGGTCCGTAGGCCGGCAGCCCGGGCAGGCGCCTCGGTTGAGGTGTGCGGGCTGCTCTCAGGGAATGACGCGGCTCCGCCGGCAGAATAGAGCCTGAGAGGGCGCAAGGCCAGCGGGAAGGGGCTGTGCCGAACCCCTCCGTGGCGGCTTTCCGGGTGGCTTTGGACTGGTTGGACGAAGGGGACGAGTGACCGAATGCTGTTACCGGTTGGCGCAGACCGCTCGGTGAGCGGCCCCCACAAGCCCTGGCCACAGGGTGAGGGCGGAGGGGCGATACCCGCTGCGCCAACTCCAGGGAAGGGGTTGTGGCAGAGCCTGGGATGGGGCAGCGTCGTCCCCTGCCGACGGGGAACTGTTGAAGTTTAACTCTTCTAGACTTGAAATCGGTATTACAAATACTTTAGAAGTCAAAAGTTCTTATTTTTCAAGTAGCTGATATATCGGCCTGTTGCCAGAAGCGCATGTTTCTCTGAGTATATAGTCATTGGAGTCTGAAGGGGTCTAAATCTCATCTAGAAGACAGTTTGGCTCCCAGTTTGCAGTTGCTTTACAGATGTAACGTTTAATAGTCGTAAGTGATTTTAAACTGGGTTCTGGGACGGCTTTCATAATCAAATTCATGCCAAAATTCAGTACTCTTCGTTTTTTTATAGGCCAAGTGAGTGTTCATAACGTGGTAACTGTCAGTGCAGGTCTCTTCCAATTTTCTTGTGTATAGTATTTTGTGTATGCGTTTAATAATTAAACCTCTACAGACATGTGATGCTGCCACGAGAACTTTCAAAACAAGTGCCAAAATCTCATCTGATGTCTGAAGAAGAGTGGAGACGACTTGGTGTTCAGCAGAGTCTTGGCTGGGTTCACTATATGATCCATGAGCCAGGTGAGCACATCTGAACAGAATTAGGCAAACGAAAAAGTCAAATATCAGACTGGAGATGTTCCTGCCTCTGCCCATAGAAACAGGCTTTTTGTGAGCTCTTAAATAACATGAGTATGCAGTGACTGAACCAAATTTAATAGAGCAGCATATCTTTAAGTCATAAAACTGACTTTATGACACCTACTTTTTTGTACAACAACTTAATAGATGCTCGTGTAGACAAGGTCCTGTATTAATCCTCTGAAAATTCTAGAGGATAGTTTTAACTCTAGTTGTAGAGCCTCCTGAAAAATCAGTATTTCAGTTAATGGGGTGTGAAAGCCTAAGACCCTTACTAACTAGGATGTTGGTATTATGGGATCAGCCCTTCCAGGCTTGTGCCATTGATTAGCTTGACTAAAAAGTAACAGGTTGATTGATAAACTGCAGCAGCATGAAGTTCCAAGTTTCTGAAGAATCAGGTGATAAAATGAGCATTGCCTTCCAGTGTTTCCCTTATTTGGATACCTTTGATATTTTAGACTTTTTTGGAGGCATTTGAAATTAAGAAGACTGATTATAAGGTGAGCAGGCTGTATTAGCCAAGGTGGATTTTGTTGGTGTTTGATATGTGCCCAACAGACAGTATCAGCAGTTTGTCAAAGTTACAGTAACAGTGTTTATTAAGTAGTCCAATGTGAGGAGACATTATAAAATACTCTGGATTTTCCTATCATTTCCCTCCTGTAAGGCTCTTAAACTTATGATATTGCCAGCATTGGGTATAAAAATAAAAATTTGACTGTTGTAAAAGTACTGCGTACTTGGTCTGTTAATATTACACGTGGGGCTCTACTTAGACTTTCTAATTATTTATTTGAAACTAAGCCTCAACTATTGTTCAGGATTACAGAAATCGCTTTAATCAAGATTTGTACAAACTCACACTTTGTTCAATTTTCTTTCCGCAGAACCACATATTCTGCTCTTCAGAAGACCGCTTCCAAAGGATGAGCAGAAATAAGCCATGGGCTTTTGAATCTTCTGGAACTATGTATATGAGTGTATATATGTTGGTAGTATTCAGTGAATACTTTAAATTTACAAAACATACATCCAAACCTGTGCATGAGCTGTATTATTCACAGCAACAAAGCTCAGTCAAATGCAATTCCAAGCAGGCTGCTATGATGTTCAAAGAGTGATGAGTTTATCTTTTAATGTTAATGTAAGTGCCTCTCTGACTTAAATTTTGTTTGTGCTGCATGTTCTTAGCTCATTGCTTGTTAGTGTTCTGTAACTTTTGCACTCAAATTTTCTGCTGTAGTCTAGTAGGTTCAAATCCAGTAGTTCAACTGTTTAGTAGTCAGTAGGCTTAAGAAATAAACTTTTTAAATGTTTTATGAAACCTCAGTGTCTGGAGTTGTGATTTAATGTTTTTAAGACTGCCTGCTTCAAAAAACAAAACTCATTTGATGAACCCTAAGTATAAACTTAGGGTTGAGTAGTACTCAGTATTTTGAAGAGCTTCTAAGGCTCCTTTGTTCACCTTTGCCAATGCCAATTATTGTTTACTCTGGGGTTGTAGCCTGCTCTTCCTGTCTTGCATCCACATTATCACTGAGCCTTTGTGGGAGGTGGTTCTGTATACTGAGTAACTCTCAAGAGAAACGGGTTTATTTCACAGGCTAATTGTATTATGGTTGTGCACAATTTGGAAGGCCAACAGAAGCTGTAAGAGGGTGTGGGAGGGCCAGCACACAGGGTGAAGTGTGTGCTCTGCCTCTGTAATGTGAGCTCTAGTGGAGCAGACGAAGTAATATGGAAAGTTTGGTGAGGAAAAGAACCAGAGATGTCCGCCTCAAGTGCTGGTCTGGACCAGGCTGGTTAGAGCAGGTCTGTCCAAGTCTGAACCAAGCGCCTTCACTAATCATCTGCTTAAGTCGTGTTTTTCCCTGGAATGTCACCACCGAGGCCTGGGTGCCTGTCACGGGTGAGTGCGTGCCTGTGTTACGTGCCGTCCTTTCTCCTATGGCACAGGAGGGGCCGTGCCTGACGCAGGGCGGTTCGGCCGAGCCCCGGGCGCTGCCGGCGCCGCTCCCGCACGGGGCCCGCTGTGCGGCGTCGGGAGCGGCCGCGCGCACGGCAGCGGGGGCGGGGCCGCGGCGTCATCGCGGCGCGCCCTGCGCCGGGCCGGGAGCGGGGCCGCGCCCCCCGCGCCATGTCAGCCGAGAGGCGGCCGCGCTCGGGCCGCGGCGGCGAGGTAAGGGCGGCGGCGGCACCTGCAGTCCCCTGCCCCTTCTTTGGCTCTTCCCAGCACGGAGTCGCTCTCCAGGAGCCGCCTGGGGGCGGGTCCCTTCGGGCCGCACCTCCGTGCCGTTCCCCGCCCCGGGGGCCCCTTGCCAGCCTGGGCCCAGCGCTCCGGCTGCCCATATGCTTCTCCGGGCAGGGTAACTCCCACCGCTCCTTGGATCAGGCTTTGGTTCAGAACTGGGCAAAGGGTTCTTCTGGAAGGTCAAAACCGGGGGGCAGGGGTCGCTCAGGTTGGAGCACAACGAGTCGTTTCCCACCGTTTGGGATGGGCAACTCCAGACATTAACTTCCAGCGAGCTTAAGTGTGGAAACCTTTTCTCACTGAGGGTCTGTTGCAAGGACAAGTGTGCATCCCAGACACTGTAAGGCTGGGTGACCAGATTCTAGCCACTGGTAGTAGTGCTACGCACATGGACCTATGACCTAGTCAGGTTCGGGAGTTTTAGCGATGAGGCTACAGTCGCCGTTGCTTCCTGCCATGTGTTTTGATGGCATGGCAGTAAATACTCCGAGTTTCATTTCATAGTCCTTCCATATATACATACCCAGTTTAAGTCGATGGTAATTCAGAACAAATGGAAAGCTTGTCTTAATAAATTTGTTTTGTGCTAGAATCAAGAAGGCTATAAAATTATCATTTCAGCCTTCAAATACAGATGTGCACAAAGTCATTATTGTTACATACATACATGTTATGGAGCTTGATTAACAGTACTGTTAGTGTATTTATGAATTTTAGTTTTTACTGTTCAAATAGGAAGTAAGAATTCATATATTTGCATTTACTGCATTTTGTTCTAAGCAGGCTTCTGTCCTTTACATAACTGACTGTTTGTGACTGTTTCATGATGAATGAGGGTATTAAGTGACTTTACAGAGCAGCCAGATGTTTCTTTGAATATGTTAGTTTTATTTTCACTTTGTTTTTCCATTTCCTTTTGATGAGCTTTGTTGTTTTGCATGTTTTGATAGAAGAGAGCAAACTAACACTTTCCAATGAGAGTTAAGCTCACGAAACTGAGTGTTTTTCACATAATAGCATTAATCTCCAAATGCATGTAGCCAAAAAACGTTTTGTTTCTCAGGGCATCAAGTTGTCAGCAGAGGTCAAACCATTTGTTCCAAAGCATGCGGCGGTAACTGTGGCATGGTCAGAACCCTCAGAAGCATGTGTCTTTCCTAGGTACTTAACTACATGCTACCCATTTGTTCAGGAACCATCTTTGGATAAGTATGTATATTTTCTGAATCTTATTTATTGGGGGATTTTAACCATCTGGATTTGGATGTTGAGTACTCTTAAAAAGTCGCGGTTCCAATATATTGCTAGTCCAACTGTAGAAATGCTTCTGCATTATCTTAATGATTTAGTTTTTTACATTTATGTTCTCTGGGTGTATACCAGGTACCTGGTCTTTGTCCACAAGGGCCTGTATTGTTACAGAGTGTTAAGGAGAATGTGGTGTTCTGTAATGATTGGTCTGTTTTTCATGTGTTTTGGAAGGAGCTGAATTCAGTCCTTGAATGAAAGAATGGTTGTGTTGCGACCAGGCTGAGGTAGATGTAGTTCTACACAAGAAAAATGATTCTTCAAGAAGATTTCTCCTCCTGTGAAATATTTAGTATATGGGGCCTCTTCTAGATCTCCTCTCCACAACCTGTGCATCTCCAGAAAGGCAGTTTTACTAGAAATGCTACAGGTTTCTGAAAGTTTTGGGGTTTTTCTATTAAAGTCCAGGAATGGTATTTGTGGTAGACTTATAAAAGTATTTTATAAGGAGCAAACTAGAAAAAAAACTACGTAGCAGAATAGGAAAAAATTGAGTCTTGTAAGAGTCTGATATTTTACATAGTTCTCTCATTGCTTCTTAGGGCCTTAAGCATTGGATCGATTGTACAGTTTCTGCAAAGTTAATGGTGTTTCTTTAAAAATTCAGAGCATTAGTGAACACAATCATCGTAGGCCATTGTTTTGTCCTACAAGAAATCTTAGTATTTTCAAACTATTTTCATTCTACTAGAAATTTCACTTTGAGGTGAGTATGGCCTGTTCTATGCATTAGAGAAAGCTCACAGCATTAGCATTGAATCAATTACTGTAAAAAAACCCACAACCCAGACAAGAGTAGCCTTCTAATGAGTGTTCTGCCTTGTTGGGACTGAGACATGGTTATATTTGAGTCTCACTTGGTATATTTCTTCTTGGTCTGTGAACTGATTGTAAGCATTGTTTTGACAACATTCTGCCAGAATTGCAACAGGTAGTATGAAATGTGTTGCCTGAGGTCTTTTGTACCAATGGGAAGGTTTCTCTGTCCTTATCTACAAAAAATTCTGAGGCTGGCAGCTTCATGAAGAGCAGCTTTAAAAACTGAGTGCAGCTTTCTGAAACTGAGAAATTTGTATTCTCTCTAATCAAATCTGGACTCTTGTGTATTTTCTGGACAAAGTATAGAAGGAAATTGAAAGGGAGTTTTTGAGCATACATTGAAAGAAAGAGGCATGCCCCAGACATGCTGTGTTTTCATAAATTGTGATGGTTACATGCAGATCAGTTAATTATTGTTTTATAGTTCTACATTGTATTTCATACATGTTTTATGCTCCATAAAATGTTATACTTCCACTTCGTTATTGTCATTTTAGGACAGGTTTTAATGTTTGGGTTTTTTTTTGCAGTCAAGTAGGTGATGCATGTCATGTCCTTACACTGTGTTTTTGGTTTGTTTCACAAGAAAAAGCCTACTGAAAATAAGCATGAAGAATATCAGTAACCTTAAACAGGCATGAGAACTGTAACTGCAAAGCAGACTAGCTTTGAAACTTGGAAATGGATAACGTGTGTGTTTTAAGATACTTGCTTAACTACATGTTTTCCCAAAACAAAATTAATTGCTTTTAAAGAAGTCTGTAGCAGTAAGTAAATGCTTAATTGAAATAGCATGGAGTAGTTTCCTTTTGAAATAGAGCTTTCTTGTTAAACAAATTCTTTAGACAAGGAATATGTTTGTCGAGGCAACAAGTAGGTGCTGAAGACTTGCCCTAGGATGACTTTAATTTCTTTCTCAATATCCATCACATAGTGTTCTGGGAGATGCTGCCTTCCGTGAATACTCCACCTGCTCTCACTCACCTGATGTTGTTGCAAATGTGTATCCAGTAGCTGGCTCACAGTATCAGTCTAACAACTCAACACACTATAATGGTTCAGGAGTAGTCAGTGAATCTGCTGAACAAGCATATCCAGTCAGACAAGAAAGTAAGAGTCTTTCAAAGGTGAGCAAAATCATGTTTTCTTAAAAATTAATATTAAATTCTTACTTTAAATCAATCTTTATAAATGTTTGGTTCATATTTTTAATGTGAGTCATCACTCTTTCTTGTGATCCTCAATGACCTTGGAAAAGGATAGTAGTGCAATGTGCCCAGCTTCAGAATACTGAAAAGTTTGCAGAATTGTACACTTCAGATTAATACAATTTTTCAAGCAGCATTTTTGGAACATGAGGGGAAAGAATGGTCCAAAGTTGGGGGGAGGAGGTGGGGAACACCCTTCATTTGTGAGCTGTGCATTCATTTTTTACTCTTTGGGCTTGCCGGGAGGGGAGAAGGGCTCTTTTTTTTCAGCCCTGTGGCAGCTTCCATTAACTTGACTTAAGACAAACCTGGTATCTGTAGTCATCTGTTTGACTGACAAGTCAAAGACCACATCTCTTTGGTCATCTGAAATAATTTCCAAGACTTGCGCAGGTTGAAGACAATCCACAAGAAAGGGGGAACTTGTGCTGCTGGGGAGAGGGAAGAGAGTGTCGTGTTAGAAATGTAGTCTTTTTCAGTCAGAAATATATTGAGGTTCTGTAAACAGTGTAAAGAGTCATTTTTGTCTCTGTCTGTTTGGGATAAATTTCCTGAAACTTGTGAAATATTTGCAAACAAAAAATAGACAATCCTCT